AAAACAAACAAAAATTAAAGAAAAATAAAGCCATCAAGGTGCTGTTTTTGAGGTAACTATCTACCCAGCAAATTATACAATATTACATTTAATTAAACATATGCCACTTACTTATTAAATATTCAGTTTGAAATGGCTAAATAAATTAATAACTGAATAATTAAACCACACTGTCAATCAATTAACGGACAATCAGTCAATCAATCGATCGATCAATCACGCAATTGACAATCAACCAAATACGGACTTCGTATACAGAATTCTAATCACGTTGGCTGTTTGCTATTGTTACATAATGTAACATGTGACATTCAAATTCAAATCATGTTGGATAAGTGGACATTATGTAACAAGAATCTAAACCCATTTATAATAGTTGCAATGATTAACTCATTACATCCATCATTTAATTCGTTACATCGATTTTTAAGTAAGGTCCAAACAATAAGATGTGCAATAATGGTATTATCACATTTCTATTAAATTTAGAAAGTATATAATTCACAACAATATATTCAAAGTCACCACAAAAAAAATGATAGACATTCATCTGCTATTTAATTACAGAGCTTTACGAATGATTTCACAAATTAATATTCAAATGGCAACCATTCCGAGCTTTAATGCTAGGAGCGATAAAATTTGATCTTCGACAAATTCTTTTACGAAACAAGCTTGACTGAAAGAAATGAATAAGTTAATACGAAAAGGTAAGAAATTTCTCATAATTTACGTCTTAATAAAATTTCTCTAATACCAATTACGTAGTAGACAGATGACATGCAAATGGTTTTGGTAAAAAGAAACTTGAAGTAAATGTGATTAGGATTGGATCACGTTACATCAGACTCTTGCAGAATGTTTGCGTATCTGAAACCACAATCCAAACTTAGACGGGTGAGGTGATAACACAAGGTGTTAATACTGTAAAGGCATTAATTCAAGTAAAATTCGCTAAATTAAATCCATGTAAAATAATAGAACTAGTTTTTCTTCCAAATATGGGCACTAATACCCAGTGAATAGACTCAAACATCAAAACAGTGTAATTAAATGGTTTTACAGTATAGTGAAATAAAAATAGCTCCTAACGATGACGACAATGATAATTATTTCTAAATAAAGACAGCTGAATAATCAGTATTCAACTGGCCAACCCAACTGAAATGCACGACATACATGTACTTTAGTTTATTTTGTGGATCATAAATTCTATGACATCACTTGTATCAACCAGTATGTGACATCGGCACATGACCAACTTAAAAACAAAAACAGAGAAATTGATTTTTGAACTATGCTTTTAATTTAGTGGCAACTTTATTGTAATTAGACACTGCCAAATGCATATGTGGAAGAGAGGGACTGTTTCTTAATATTAAATAATTACACTAACTAAGCGACAATTTTAAAATGAACTCTCATTCAGTACTAGATAATTTCAATACGAATTTAAAAATGACACTTTGCTGTCCAGTGGTTTTGCAATAATCCTAGAAGGAGCACTGGTGGTGTTTGTTCAG